ATGCGATTGCCATCTATGCGGCTGCAGCTGCCGCCATGCATGCATTACAGCATCATCCACCTCTGTGTCTCCAACTTGCTGATACTTTGAAGGATGCAGAGATGACCTCTCACTTTTTGGTTGCTGAATCTATTCTTTATATTATTGTCTGGCAGAAGAAGCAGCTCTCAGTGCAGACGAGGCATTGGGTTGTGTCGATAGTCCTAAACGGGATGCTGCATTGCTGTGGCAAGGCAGTGCAAACCGCACTTCAGTTGTTCTTTTCCTTGGTGGACAGTGAGCACCGTGTACTTCTACTCTTCTTGACTGTCCTCGCAGCTTCCTTTTCATTTGCCGTGTTTATGGTGGCTGCAGTCCGCAGTCTCCCCATTGGAAGTGTGCTCACTCCGTTGTTTTTAACTCTTACTTGTTTGTTTGCTATCTTACTGGGAGGTGCTAGAAGCGTAGTGACTACGGGGACAATGACGATGTATTGGCTCACTGTGACTGCAGATTGTGCCCATTGTTTCATTATTTTTGCTCTTTTGCCTCACTGCCATTTTGCCTTTCTCAATTTACTTTGTCTACACACTCGGAAGGAAAGAGATTAAACGCTACTTGCTGCTGCGCGCTTTGAAGGCTCTGCAGCCACCACCAGCAACTCACACACACACACACACACACGCAAACACACACGCAATCGTCGTGGCCTGAGCTGATCCACCACAACAAGGGAAGGAAAAGAATGAGTGAGCGACGACAATCCAACATGTGCCGTCATCCGTTTTCTTTTTCGGTGCAGCTCCTCTGCGTGCTGTTGATATGTTTTGGCTGTACGGCTGTGCACGCTGAGGAGGGAACTAAAACAAAGGAAATGCAAGTACCAAAGTCTGTCGGTCTTTTGGTGCCTAATCGAACGATTGTGGAAACACAAGGTCAAAGTCAAACGAGGGATTATTTTGTCTCAACTTCCCTCGCCAGTGCTGGTGGGGTGTTGGTTGCGCTTTCGGAGGGTCACATCTTTCAAAACACCAAACATCCCGCTAAATCTGATTATACGGATATTGTGGCGGGGTACGTTGACTCTGCGGAGAAGTGGTCGTCTTTTGTCGCTGAGGTTCATGCAAGCAAATGGAGGGCGCATAGCATCTTTAACACGGCCATGCAAGATGACCGCAGCGCCCCTCTGAGACACACGGCCCAACCCACGACAATTGCAAAGGGCAACAAGGTCTTTCTACTTGTGGG